CATAACAGAAGAAAACATATTTTCTGCGAAACTGACCTGTTTGAAACATGCATTGAATTTCCAAGTGAGAAATTTTACATGAATCGTTTCACTTACACAAATTTTTTAAGACTCTTGAGATAAATTGTCAATCTGTTCTACCTTGAAAATACACTAAAATCGGACAAGCCCAACATTGCAAATTGTATGTAATGTAATAGGAGAGTAATCTCATCTCACTATAGTCCTATTTGAACAATATTCATGTCTTGTCATTATTCAGTCTCTTGAGTCGCGGAATCTTGCTGACGGACATTTTAGCTTATATGTTTATAAAAACTGTTTGCTATTTTTTGTACTTTCTGCGCCAAAAACATTGTTTTGCAACCATTCTGTATGCGAGAATTCATACTGAAAGTAGACATTATGAAGATGAGCCACCACCAAAGAGACATTTTAATTTGAGACAATAGCAAAACTTACTATGTCCTGATGTTATTTATCCGTTGATTTGTCATCAAAATTATCATCTCTTGCAAACGGCATCAAATTGGCTCGTTTTGTAATTTACAAGCAGATGAACATATTTGTACCATGTTAAGATCGAACTGTTAACGTTATTTGACGTTAGATTTAATAATATTAGAATTTATAGAAATAGAAAGTTAAACAGTTTTGCGCATATTTAAAACAGTGCACCTCAAAAAGGCTCTGAAACTTACTTTTTGAATGGGTCAAGTTAGCAGGCTGAAATTTGGGGCGAAAAATGGATGCATGAATACCATATTCCAACGTAAATGTTGATGTTACAGAGCAGGGCGCCATCTTGGAACATTTTTCTCAATAGGATAGAGGTCTTGTGATAACTTAGTTGGAGGAGCCTTATAATACTTTAAAATCTTATAACATCACTGTAGACAATTTTAGCAAAAATAGATGGTTGTACAATCTGATTACTCTGTATACTAAATTATGTTAAAGTCACTTATTCAAATGATCGCGAAATGATGTATATATGTAAGACGATGGACAACGTCCAAAACTGTCGCCACCGTATCGTGAAAAACTGGGAAAGGCGCTATGGCACTAGAAAATAATACCCAGCTGCCTTTTCCAACATCAAGCCATTTTTTGTGGGCAAGCTACATTATCCCAAAACATGAAAGTTATTTTTTTTAAATTCATATCCTCTAATTTTGTTTGAATAATGTCAAAAAAATTGTAGATAATGTTTTATGTACCTAAAACCAGGGCAACCCGTTGCATTGGCGCATGTCAAAACTTGCATATTAGGCGCACGCTAGGTAACGTACTGCCGTGATGATTTTTTCTATTAGAAAACGCACTGTTTTCATTCAGACAACATGTCGTAGGAATTTTTTTAACAGGGGACGTAAAGCATCAAATTACCGGTTCAAAATTTCCCTCTATTGGATAGTTTTGTTCTATAATATTCGGTGTGTGTGTGAAATTAAGTGTCGATGAGTGCACCAACCTTACTATTGGTGAGAGCATTATGTACTGGGAAACGGCACGTATACCAACTAAATCTCTACCTAACTGTGTTAAGAAACTAGTAACCTTATACCAAGTTTGGAGAGATTTGCAAAAAATGCAAGCAAAACACATGAAATTTTTGGGCAACATCGACAAGAGTTTGTTACGAACTTGTAAATTCTCTTTGATATCACTGATAGACAAAGGATTTGTGACATGACAATTTTTGGGTGTATCTTATGTATTTTGAGACCCTTAAGTCAAATCTAAAAACAGAATTTTTTATCACCCACAGACAACATCTACTTCTCTGAATTACAATACGTAACATCTCATACTGCTGCATTTATCGGCGCTTATGCGATGACGCACGTATATAATGTTAAGACCTGTCCATTCCTGTTTATTATATGCGAGCTGTATGTTTAGAGAGCATATTGCGTTTATTAGTAGACTAATAGCAGCCGAGTCAGTTACGTTTTCTGTGTTGAAGGGTACTGAGATGTTCTGAGTACTGTTAATTTTTGTTAAAACGGTGTGTTGTTTATTGTGATCGAGACTAGCTTTATGGACAATGCCTAGAAATTGTGTAAATAGTGCGAACAGTTTTTTTTTATGTGTACAAAGGGCTAACTTTCAAATCCCAAAAACGTGCTTTTACTCCCCTTGTGTTGAAAGCATATGAACTTTATTTTGGAATTAAAGTTGGCGACCAAGATAAACTATGGGCCCCTCATATATGTGTAACTTGTGTAACGTTGTTAACCGGTTGTTTAAGAGGCGACAATCGTAAAATGCCCTTTGCGGTACCAAAGGTTTGGAGAGAACCGAGAGACCATGCTACTGATTGCTATTTTTGCCTCAAAAATATTAAAGGTGTTGGACCAAAATCGAAACATATTGTTAAGTATTCTAATTTACCATCAGCTTTGCGGCATAGCGATGAACTTTCTGATCCAGTGCCATCAGAATCTTGGTCTTTGGATAAAAAAGTCGAATCCACCGATTCTGAAAGTGTTGGTACAGAAAGCGTAAAACTTGCGATCCTTCGTTGGACCTGCCAGGATGTTCAACAGCGCGGCATTTTATCACACAGAGCGAATTTAATGACTTAGTTCGAGAACTAAATGTGTCAAAATCCCAGTCAGAACTTTTGACGTGCAGATTAAAAGGATGAAATCTTCTGCACGGTGATGTTAATATTACTTTTTACCGAAAACGGCAGCAAGACCTCATACGTCAAGAAAGGGAAATGATATATTGGGTGGGTCCACAAATATGGAAAATCATGAAGGATGATGTGTAGTTACTGCAAATTTTTTAGGCACTGTGAAGGCGGACAATTATAAAGATATTGTGAGTGAACTAATTAATGCTTATAAAGGAATGGGATGTAACGTATCTAAAAATTGACTTTTTGGATTCTCTTCTCGATTTTTTCCGGAAAATTTAGGTGCGGTAAGTGATGAACATGGTGAATATCAAGGCAAATGGAGTGTCAATTTGCTTGCTGATTATTGCTGGACATTGTTAAGAGATACTTCGGGAGCAACATATCGCCGTAAAACATCGACAACAACATTCTGAGATTAATTTTTATTCGACTGTTTATTAGTACTCTTACACACATATCCTTATATTTTACGAAACATAAGCAGCAAATAAAATGCCTTTAACCACCTTGTTTTGTCCATGTCACAAAAAAATATTTTAATTTTGTTCACCAGTGTTTTGGGCATGCCGCTGCCTTTTAATTGGTGAAAATAAATGAAGATAGGATCTTCTTGCAGCGGCAGAGAGAGCCAGGTCGACGTGGTCATTTAGCTGGGGTGGACAAGAAATTAGCCATAAAAGAAGAAAAGGCACGTCTTATTCTAACACCGACAAACAAAAGCGGCGGGCTAAATATGTTGTCTCCTTAACTTCTTGAACATCATCTTATGAACCAGTGCAAGAAAATTCATCTTCAGATTCCGAGATAGATTTACAAGAATCTTTGCCCACTAATCAAACTCAAATGAGGAAAAGTCTCGTAACTCCAAAATCAGTGCCAGCATTATATAGGTGTTAGTTAGGTATGAGAAATGCTGTTCTTATTATTGAAGCGCTTGGGCATAGCAATGACGAGTTTTACAGATTTATACTGATTATTATTTCAGAGACTAACCAGCTGCTAGAATTTTATCGAAATAAATTGATCAAAGAAGTTACTAGAGACGACTATCGAGAATTAATAGAACTTTCAATAATATTCCTTGGCGGAGAGACAAAGAAAATATTTCAGATTCGACCGCCAGGCGCCGTGCATCAAGCTCGGTGGATGGCCAGAACAATATATTCAGTAAAAATGATATCATCGTTCCCCGATATCATTAATATTTATTTTTTGAGTTGTTATAGTCAAATGGAAAAAAAAATAAAAAATGAGAATATGCGCATCTCAATTCGAACAAACATTTGTTTGCCCTCATAAGCTACATAAAAAAGCGAGTGTCGTGTTTGGTACATCAAATTGTTCTGAGGAACAGCTGAGTACATTCATTGGTTCGATTATTGACTATATTTAATAAACACTGATAAGCAGGTGTTGGGTTCAAACGTTCATTTTTTTGCACAAAATTTGATTCCCTAAACACTCCTTAAAAGAGGTCTACCAACCTCTGACTCTTCAGATAGGAATTAGGAGTGTGTGATTTATATTTTGTCTATACAATGTCACTAAAACGGTATTATCGCCTGCGAATCTACTGCAGAATTGGAATACAAAAAATATAATAGTTTGGTTGACGTCATCTGCTACAGTGGACTTAGAACTAAATAGGTAGCACATTTGATCCAAGGCGATGGAAAAATCAAACGATGACTTGAAACATAATGCAGCAAGTATTTAAAATATTAGATTTTGGTACGTGCTAGTGAATTTTATCAATTGGTTGATCAAGTGGCAATTTTTTTAAACAAACTTTAAAACAAAAGCAAAGTTGAATAGGCATTGGCAAACAATATCTCACAACCCCATACTTCTCATTTCAAAACTTGGTTGACGTATCATAAGGTGTAGTTTTTAAATATAACATTGACCTGTATCTGGGTTTTCCTAAACATGTGCACTTATCGAGTTTGCAAGTTGTTGTTAACCTAACCACTACTACTAATACTAATAGACTATAACATAACTGTACATAGTTATTTAGTGACTTGGTAAAATTGACTCCCTCAATACATATAATTATGCACCAGCACTTTGCATAGCTATTTTTTGTATGACTTCTCCTCGTACGCAACATGAATGCCCAGGATTTTTGTTCAGAAACAGCTCATTTACATGTTTATTTGAGCTTACGGCTAAATTATGCTTCTATATTGTTCCTTCCTTGGCTTACCTTTACTGCTTTTTTGCTGATCTCCCATGTTTCAATATACCATTAGCTGCAGCTGCAAATGCAGATATACATTTTTTCAATAACCAATTTAAGGGGGTACCCTTTTATGTACATATGAGCTGTGTAAAGAAATAAAACAAGTTGATTAACAAAATAAAATTTTATTGAACACAGTGAATTATGTATTTGTACAATCACTCATGTCACGATAGCGTCGATAGCGTGGATAAAGAATTCAAAAAAAATATATTCAAAATAAATACATGAATCGGATGTGGCATCACATACCAGGTATACCTCGTTTATGGAAAATGGAGTTTAGGAATGCTTGCATGGTTGTATGTATAGGTAAAGTCAATGTTGAGTTACATGCAAAGCCTACTCGAAAATGGTTACAATCAAATATTTTATTTTTATGGTCTAGAAAATATGAAAAACCCTTAAGAAATTTGATTTCATTGTTCGTTAATTATTAGGACAACTTACTCAATTGTAAAGTTATGCTTGATAAGATTGTGTATCTTGTTAAGTGTAAATTGCCTGTATTGATAAAGTGGTGAAGGAAATGATGATAATAAGCAGATAAGGCGAAATGGGGTGATATTAGTACAGGTTTATTCGGAAACTTCAGTGATTACTGGCTTCTCGTCAGTAGTTTCGGATTTGTCAATACTCTCGTGTTTTTCGACTTTCGCTGAGCGCTGTTCTGATTTTTTCACTGTAAGGAAAAAAATATGTTCAGTACCACACATCGTAGATGCCAGATTTGGAAGCAAACTGCTGGTTCGACTGCATGCCATCACGAAAGCTGCCATTCGGTGATGTTATTCACTAACGTCTAGAAAAGGTGTGTATTGCCATAATGAGAATACTTTTCTTGCAGGCCCACCATTGATCATGTTTAAGTCAATAAGGATCTAACTAGATCTTTAGTAAACATATTGAGTTAATCATGTGCAACATTCTCCTTACATATATACACCTAACATATTTACTCTAGAGTATTAATTTATTGATATATACAGGGTGTTTTGTTGGGAGCAGGGGGTATTTTAACCGTAGATATTAGTCAGTGAGTTGATTATAAACCACCTATGGTTGATGGGTCTTTAGCTTCTTAGAACCAAGGTACGGGAACATTTTGCCTTCATTATCTCACAACTGTTTAACATTTTTTCAAAACTTAATATGCATACTCAGCTTATGCTATGGAATCAACTTTCATTTAAACACCAGTAGAAATACAGGTCCGGCCTAGCTAAAATTTGACATATCCGTTTTATTCAAAAACCACAACCACTATGCTGGAATTTTTATTTCACCATTTCCCTCGTCTTAACTTCTACCAATCACAAACGCGCAATTTTGAATTACAAATGATTTCTATATAGAAAAATTGCATGACAGCACCTATCAGCAGTCTTTTCTAGTTTCCCGTCCCAAAACTTGACAGCTGCTGACCTTTGATAACAAGTATTTATGGCCTCCTACGACACCAGAAAACGATACTAAACAATTTTGCTGATTTTATTGTCAATCAATTTTGTAATATTGTTATTAAAGAGTTAATCTGTTATTTTTGAAATAATATTGTCAAATACCGTTCGGGCATCTAATTTTTTCCTGTGAAATAAGTCGAAAAAACAATGCAAAGTAATATTTTTTAACAAGAAAACATTCGTGCAGGTGCAAAAATCCTCTTCTTACCACCTGCACTCGTGCTTCTTGTTAAAATATTATTTACCAACGTGTTTCTTCGATTTATTCGGAAAAATTAGTTGTCCTTATTATATTACTTATGAATATTTGAAAAGAGTACAGACACTTTATTCCAGCAAGCCACTTCAATTATTTGAGCAGATGATTTTGTTTTTGCTGGAGATACTGATTTTGTTCATTTTGGAGTACAATGATGCGGCTGCTTTATGGTCTCTTAATTATATAACCTGTCATTTGAGACTATACGCACCACACTAGTATTACAGAACAACCTCCATGGCTTGACTTTCGAGGCGGATATTTAAACCCACAAGCCTTCGAGACGACCGATAAGTACTTCCACGCACTAACCACTTGGCCACCTACCCCCATATTACGGCCTGGCTACAGGACATTCGCCACAGCGAATATTTTCCCAATGCGAACAACGCACTAGAAATGTACTTATCAAGCCATGCGCAGCGGTTAATAGCGAACGGCGCGGGCGACTGGCGGCGCGGCGGATGAACGAAACAAAGGCATGAATCAGTACGGCGCAAGCCGTCAAGCGGTAGTCGCTGCAAATAATACAGTGAACAAACGAGTTTTTTTTGCCACGAAAGATGAACACCGAGGCTTTTATTACTGAAATACTTGCTAGGTCAGCTATTTCGCAGTTTGGCCACTCATAGCATACAAATCAATAACATAATTATTGTAAAGTATTTTAATTTCATCAAATAATAATATACAGGATGACATTTAATTAGCTAACCCTATTTTGGGCAATGATAGTTCCGAAAAAAATATGTTTCTGACCATGTGTTTTGGGGAAAGTTGTTCATATTGATGATTAATTACTATCATTCCCCAGGTGATTCTCTAGCTTAGCTACACCAATCTTTTTTATTTCTCCGTCCGAATAGGCACTACGTTTGGATTGAAAATGCTGGAAATGAGATTAGAAATGCCCGCAAATGTGTTAGTTGCAGAATATTATCTGGGTTTTTAAAGGTATAAACACTTTCTTAACCATGTCATTCGCAGAATAAACGGATCCTATACATACCGCGACGTTGTTATATTTAAGAAATATAAAAAAATTAACGAAAATATGCATTTTCACGAGTAGCACCTCTCCTCTTAGGCCCGTATCGTCAGTCGCCCCTACAATTGTAGGGCGCCTTTATTGCCTCCTTGATTGTCATAGTTTTCTAGTTCTCCGTGTCAACGCTCTATTTTGAGGTTATGTCACAAACATCTATTTGCATCAAATTGGGCTTGCTTTTGAGTTATATCATGTTTTATCAGCCTGAAATTTCCTACAATTCAAAAAGAAAACATAGGAGAGCGCTGACGCTGACACGGGACAAGTGTAATCTAGAAATTTTTGAAGGGGAGAAAGGAGTATGACAATCAAGGAGGCCATAAACGCGCCCTACAATTGTAGGGACGACTGACGATACGGGCCTTAGTTTTTATTCTTATCCCGCTTTGAGTGACAGCGCATTAGAGGTTATTTAGGGTTGTGTGGAGCTCGAAGTCATACATACAAATTCAATTATCAAGAATATCCATCAAGACGAAAACATATAAAGCGTTGAAATCTGTCAACGTCGCACAGTCTTTGGAAGGAAACATTCAATAAAAACCTATTATATAGTAAACTATTTCAGAACTTTCATGTTTGCGCTCATTTTCAGTACAATTTCATTCATCTACACCCAAAAACTAGAGTCTGAGATCATGTTTTCATCAAGAACGGCTGGTGTAGTTAAGCTTTATGTGGGTGTAAGCGAGCTATCGATACTAGTGAAGCACCAACAAGTGCACAGGCGAGAGAGGTTCCAAAAATAAAATTAAGAAAATATTCTCAAAAATACTTGAATTTTGGGTTTACATGTACTGAAGTCAAAGAAGAAGAGAGGCCTCTGTATATCATTTGCTCAAAAACCTTAGCAGCAGATAGCATGAAACCTAATAAATTTAAACGACATTTGGAAACGCTTCGTAGTGAGTACGTTAACAAACCCCGAGAACTTTGACTGTGAATGAACAAAGTTTACTTGTCTCTTATAAAGTTTCATATGAAACAGTCAGATGTAAGAAGCCAGATACTATTGGTGAAGAGCTTATTTTGCCAGCAGTAAATTTAAATTTATACCAAATCGTGGATAAATTTTTATGTGGGTGTAAGCGAGCTATCGATACTAGTGAAGCATCAACAAGTGCACAGGCGAGAGAGGTTCCAAAAATAAAATTAAGAAAATATTCTCAAAAATACTTGAATTTTGGGTTTACATGTACTGAAGCCCAAGAAGAAGAGAGGCCTCTGTATATCATTTGCTCAAAAACTTTAGCAGCAGATAGCATGAAACCTAATACATTTAAACGATATTTGGAAACGCCTCGTAGTGAGTACGTTAACAAACCCCGAGAACTTTGACTGTGAATGAACAAAGTTTACTTGTCTCTTATAAAGTTTCATATGAAACAGCCAGATGTAAGAAGCCAGACACTATTGGTGAAGAGCTTATTTTGCCAACTGCAAGCAAAATTGTAGAAACTATGTGTGGAAGTCCATACCACTATCCAATGATACGGTTGCCCGTCGAATTGGTGATATAGCTGAAGATGCACAGCATCAGTTACTCGGGAAGTTGCGAGACAAGTTGTTTTCAATTCAGCTTAATGAGGCAACGGACAGCAATGAAGATGCTCATCTTATTGCCTACGTACGATTTTGTGATGACATTTCAGTAGTAGAACTACTTTTCTGCAAGCCTTTAGAACTCAAAGCAACTACTCTCACATTATTTGCTATCTTAAATGATAATCGAGGCAAACATATAGTGGAAGAATTGGAACGATGTGCGGAAGATCTGAAAGTATACAAGCCCTTGTAAAACAAAAATCTGCACTGAGCATCTGGACAGATTGCATGATTCACAGAGCAGCTCTGGCTTCCAAAGAAAAGTCTCCTGGGCTGAATGTTGTGCTAACTATGGTTGTAACAGCAGTTAATTATATAAAGATGGGACCTTTGGAAAGTAGAATCTTTTCTGCACTTTGTAAAAATATGGGTGCAGTACATTATTACTATTGCGAGGCAAGATGGTAATCATGTGGGAAATGTTCACAACGTATTTTTGAATTAAGAAAATGAAATCATCGTTTTTGTAAAAGAAGAAAACCGACCGGAGATGTTTCGAGATGGTTTATTTCTGATGAAATTGAGCTACTTGGTCGACATATTCGAGAAACTACATATCTTAAACCTTCAGATCCGACGAGCAAATACACATATATTGGATACGAGTGATAAAGCTAACGCTTTTTGTAGAAAATTGGAATTATGAAGCAGAAATTTAAAGCAACAAAACCTGGAAATGTTTCCAAATGTGGATGAATGTATTACAAGGTTGAACAACAATACAACTTGTCTTCATAACCATTGAAAATCATTCAGCAATGCTGACACAAAGATTTTCAAAAAATACTTTCCTGCCGACGACAAATTAATACTTAGTTACGAGTGGGTTAGGAATCTGTTTCAAATTACCCCGGAAGGCCTCTCAACTGCCGAAGAATAAATCTTCATAGACTTGTCGGTCAGCGCCGAAATCAAAAAACAGTTTAATAATAAATCCCTCTTTGAATTTTGGGCAGGCGTGAACGATGAGATTTGGGCACTGAGAACCAGAGTTTTTGTATACTACTACCATTTTCAACATCCTACCTTTGCGGAACAGAATTTTCGGCGGTGGCTGCTTTGAAGATGAATCGCAGCTAAATATAGAAAAAGAACTCAGAGTGTCTCGTTCAAATATTAAAACTTGTTTTGAAAAGCTTTGCTCGGCAAAGCAAGCCCACTAGTAATTGTTATTATTTTTTTAATTAATATTATTAAACTTATTTTTAATTTAGTATTGACAAATACAGTCCTGTTTATAAGTGTACCTACTATATCAGTGTCAATGTGTATTTTATTTTTGATTGTCAGAATTTTGCTTTTCCTTC